GGCCAGTAACGCCTGACCCATGTGGGCTCTCTGGGGGTTTGTGCCATCCATGTGGAGACCTGAATTGCTATGCTAATTGTAAGTTATTTGAACACCTTCTCTGACAGTTCTTTGTATGAACCACTGTTTTTATAATACTAAGTAGTTTACATTATTAGCATTTGTATATTTCTTTGCCTATATATGTAGGTATTTCTCCAGTTTCCCCTGATGAAGACCTGTATGGTTGCAATGTGTTGGGAATGATATATTGGAGATTAATGTATGGCATCACAATCTATATTCTACTGTATAATGAATGTATTGGAGTGAACTACAAACCTTGCAATGTATATGCCATCTTTGATTCTATCAATACTGTGTAATTGTGAATTGTATGCAACAGTATAAACATGAGCTCCATAATATTTTGAAGCCATACAAACAAGACCAGAGCTTTCTGTTTTTTTTTTTTTTTAATTTTTTATATGCAAACAGAATAAAAACTGATTTTGAAAGTACTTAGTGTTGTGATAAATATTGTTGTTGCAAAAATATTGGTAGCTGCAGAAAAGCCCCAGGGGAGGTATTGGAGTAGTCTTGTAGCACACTGAAATTAAATCCATTTAGGATTGGTGCAGGACTTGATAAATAGCTAAAATGAGACGTGGCAGTGGTGAGTCTTTTAATTAATTGCATAGGGAGTAAATCTGACTGGTCAGACTGATTCCATTTAGCCAGGCAACACCTACCTGGGAATCAGTCCCATAACTGCTTAGACACCCTTTCACTGCTGAACCAGTCATTAACTGCCCTCTATGGTGTCCATTTATGAACCAGCGATAAATGATCGCTGCTCAGTTCTCCGTCATTCTCGGAGAACATAGTTCTCCTGTGAATGCCTTTTATGAAGCAGTTCTCCGAACAAAGGGAGAACGGTCTACAAACGCTGAAGAATGGTCTACAAACGGTGGAAAATGGCAGATTTTACTGTAATCTCACGAGATTACAGTAAAAGATCAGTTTACTAAGCAGAGGTAAATTATCGCTGCTTAGTTTGCGGTTTCTCCGATTCTCCAGCTCTGGGCTGGAGAATCTGGAGGGAGAACACAGATCTCCAGTGAAGGGCTGAACATGTTCTCTGCTGATCTCCTGAGTGTCATAAACTGTGAATGACCAGAGAATAGCTGCGATCCTCTGAATCGCAGCTATTCTCTGTGTCATAAACGGACACCTAAGACAGTAACAGATCATCCATCGGTAACAGGAACTTTTTTCAATCATGAATTCCACTAAGAATCCTATTTCAGTTGCCTTTTTTTTTTTAGGAGTAGTTACTTATTTTGCTGATCATTCTGACTTCTCTTTCACAGCCTTTGTTATTCCTCAAATTTCACAGAAAACAATATTTCGGAAAATGCAAAGAAAGGGATTCATATTATACTATACTTTAGTTAGGTCCATTTAGAAAATCACGTCCCGTTCTGGAGACTTACAAGAAGTTTAATTCCCTGTGTGCAAATCTAAGGCCTGTGTATCTGCAGTCTCTGGGGTTGATTTACTAAAACTGGAGAGTGCAAAATCTGGTGCAGCTGTACTCCAGTTTCCTCCCACACTCCAAAGACATGCTGGTAGGTGAATTGGATCCTGTCTAAATTGGCCCTAGTATGTGTATGTATGAATGTGAGTTGCGGACCTTAGATTGTACACCCCTTAAGGGTCAGGGACTGATGTGAATGTATAATATATATGTAAAGTGCTGCGTAAATTGACAACGCTATATAAGTCCCTGAAATAAAATAAAATAAATAACTTCAGCTTGTTCAATTAAACTTTGACAAAAAAAACCTTGAAGCTGATTGGTTTGTTTGCAGATCTGCACCTGAGTTTGCACTCCCCAGTTTTAGTAAATCTCCCCTATTGAGTCCAGATATGAGCAAGAAAAATAATGCATAGTCCAAGGAATAAAATGCTTCAGGATAGATTGCAGGATTTATTATGTAGGGAAAAGGGGGAAAAGACTGAAACCTTTAAATACATTAAAAGGAAAATGGTTCAGTAGGATGGTATGTTCAATATGAAGAAAACCAGGACATGACCTCAAACTAGCAGGAGGAAAGTTCAAGGGTAATGTTAGAAAGTATCCCACACCGCATTACTGTGAACCTAGGCTTAGTCAACAATAAGTAAATATAAATCTGCTTGGGATAAATACTGGTCTATCCTCAGACAATGTTGTGAGATGAAGATGAACTGGCAAAGGTATAGGGAGCTGCCTGCAACAATAGATCCCCCACACAACATTAGACTACCCCAGCAACAAAGGACTCACCCCAGCAACAATAGTTCCCCCCAGTAAAAACTAGACCCAACTCCAGCAACAATAGATTCCCTCCAGCAACAATATACCCCACCCCAGCAACAATAGATCCCCCACACAACAATAGACCCCTCACATAGCAACAATGAACCACCGAGAAAAAAATACCATCACCAGAAACAAAAGATCCACCCCAGCAACATTAGTATTCCCAGCAGCAACAACAGATCTCCCAGCAGTCAGCATAAATAGACCCGCCAGCAGCCTCCCCTTCAACAGTAGGCATGAAGAGGTTAACCCCATTGATGCCGAGTGCACGCAAATATGAGGCTTCTCGGCATCTGGGCCTTGACGCCGAGCGGCCGCATATTTGCGTGCAATTAGAAAATACATATGTACTGAGCAGGGGCGGACTGACAACTCATGGGGCAATAGGGGAACATGGGGTCCCTGTGTCCTTGTCCAAACTCAAAAAAGCCTATGAAAAAGATACCAGGGGCATCTCATGGGGCTCCCTACTGACCCCGGGCCCTCGGGCAGTGCCCGAGTTTCCAAATGGTAAGTCCGCCCCTGGTACTAAGAGAGCACGCCCTGCGAGCTCCCAGCACATATGTCCATGACTCTCCCCTTTCGATCGGGACCTTTTCCGATCATGTAACCACCATGACGGCGAATCATGGCAGTCACATGTCCCTAAAACCCTGCCCCGCCTCCCGGCTTCTGAAACTCTTAAAGGGCCGGGTGGCGCCGGCACAAACAGGTTAAAGTACTTCCCTAACCACTGGTTCACAGCTGCGGATCCGCAAAAAAATTCATGCAACCGCACCACCGGCACAGTGGAATGCGGACCCGTGGGCGGGTACCATTAATTCTAATGGCACGCCGCCCGGACTGGAAATCGCAACTGTACTGGGAACCGAGGTTCCTGTACGAGATGTCCGAAGAAGTGCAGGAACTTCTTCCCTGTGTGTTCTGGGGCACGGGAGTCCATTCAAATGAAAGGGCTCTTGTGTCCATGCAAAACATGGCCCGCAGGAATGCGCAGATGTGAACCTAGCCTTACTTGAAACTTCACTTGAAGAATGAATTACCTGCAGAAAGGATTTTTATTGCAGAAAAAAGATAGATAGATGGATAGTTTTTTAAAATACGCGGAAATATTATTTCATTCAAGCAAGCCAGCTTGAATGAATGGTGTTTGGTGTAATGAAAGGTTGCTTAAACCAGCAGAACTTGGAGCCTAAGCTCCAGAAAATGTAGGATTATGGTGATGTTAATAAACAATATATATGTTCATTTGTGAATCAGGGTCATTATTGCAACTTACAGTTGATTTAATGTAATATCAAGATGTGAAATTTCTCAATTTAAAATGTGGCTCGTTTTGTGACATTCAGCAAGCTGTGCAAGCAAGTTCTATAAATGTATTCTGAAAATGTAAATTGCCTAGTCCGTGCTAGCGAAATTGAACAAATATATGACAATTTAACACAAATGAAGTGTGCAGAACAGTTATTATTCAAATCAAGTAGTCATTTTAATAGAATCGCTTTTTATTCTTTAGATAGTAACATATGAGAAAGCATAAAATTATATCTAGCAGGTGACAAATTGAACTTATGTGTTTTGAAACCTGTATTTGTGTAGGCAATGCTGCTCTAATCATACAAGAGCTATCGTCAAACTAAGTACTGTATTTATAAATAAGGAAAATAAATTGTCCAGTGAACAACACTGTGCAACTGAATTGACAAATTGAAGTTTATTTGCTAAAGCTGGAGAGTGCAAAATCAGGCTCACTTCTGCGTAGAAACCAATTAGCTTCTAACCTCAGCTTGTTTAATTAAATTTTGGCAATAAAATCAGGAAGCCGATTGGTTTCTATGCAGAATTGAGCCTGACTTTGCACTCTCCAGCTTTAGTAAATAAACCTCCTTGTGACAAATTCGATGACAATGTCATGAGAAGATCATTTAGTATAGCATCATAGCATATAAAGCATCAAACTCCCATATTAACTCATGAACAGTTGCTGTCCAAACTAATATTCTGTTGGATATTTTGGATTACCGTATTTTTCGCTCCATAAGACGCACTTTTTTTCCCCAAAAAAGGGGGGGGGAATGTCAGTGCGTCTTATGGAGTGAATATGGAGCAGCTGGTCTGGTATTTCCGCTGCCGACACCGTGTCAGAAAACCGGGGCCAGCCACTCAGCTCTTCTCTGCAGCAAGACCTTACCTGTTTCTCGGTCCAGCACTGTACAGTCTTCCCGACCGGCATCTTTAGTGTGGGCACCCGACTGTGACAGCCGGGTGCCCACTGCACATGCGCAAGAAGCGCTGCGCTTTGTAAATGGCCCAGCGTTTTCTGGGACCTGTCATGTGTCCCAGAAGAATCCGGGCCATTCACAAAGCGCAGGGCTTCTCACACATGTGCAGTGGGCACCCGGCTGTCACAGCTGTACTATGTACCCGGCTGTACTATGTCCGCAGTCTCTGGTCATCCACTGTACTGTGTCCGCAGTCTCTGGTCATCCCCTGTACTATGTCCTCAGTCTCTGGTCATCTCCTGTACTGTGTCCGCAGTCTCTGGTCATCTCCTGTACTGTGTCCACAGTCTCTGGTCATCCCCTGTACTATGTCCTCAGTCCCTGGTCATCTCCTGTGCTGTGTTCGCAGTCTCTGGTCATCTCCTGTACTATGTCCGCAGTCTCTGGTCATCTCCTGTACTATGTCCGCAGTCTCTGGTCATCCCCTGTACTGTGTCCGCAGTCTCTGGTCATCCCCTGTACTATGTCCTCAGTCCTTGGTCATCTCCTGTACTGTGTTCGCAATCTCTGGTCATCTCCTGTACTGTGTCCGCAGTCTCTTGTCATCTCCTGTACTGTGTCCGCAGTCTCTTGTCATCTCCTGTACTGTGTCCACAGTCTCTGGTCATCCCCTGTACTATGTCCTCAGTCCCTGGTCATCTCCTGTACTATGTCCGCAGTCTCTGGTCATCTGTACTATGTCCGCAGTCTCTGGTCATCTCCTGTACTATGTCCGCAGTCTCTGGTCATCCCCTGTACTATGTCCGCAGTCTCTGGTCATCCCCTGTACTGTGTCCGCAGTCTCTGGTCATCCCCTGTACTATGTCCTCAGTCCCTGGTCATCTCCTGTACTGTGTTCGCAGTCTCTGGTCATCTCCTGTACTGTGTCCACAGTCTCTGGTCATCCCGTGTACTATGTCCTCAGTCCCTGGTCATCTCCTGTGCTGTGTTCGCAGTCTCTGGTCATCTCCTGTACTATGTCCGCAGTCTCTGGTCATCCCCTGTACTGTGTCCGCAGTCTCTGGTCATCCCCTGTACTATGTCCGCAGTCCCTGGTCATCCCCTGTGCTGTGTCCGCAGTCCCTGGTCATCTCCTGTGCTGTGTCCGCAGTCTCTGGTCATCTCCTGTACTATGTCCGCAGTCTCTGGTCATCTCCTGTACTATGTCCGCAGTCTCTGGTCATCCCCTGTACTGTGTCCTCAGTCCCTGGTCATCTCCTGTACTGTGTTCGCAATATCTGGTCATCTCCTGTACTGTGTCCGCAGTCTCTTGTCATCTCCTGTACTGTGTCCACAGTCTCTGGTCATCCCCTGTACTATGTCCTCAGTCCCTGGTCATCTCCTGTACTATGTCCACAGTCTCTGGTCATCTGTACTATGCCCGCAGTCCTGGTCATCTCCTGTACTATGTCCGCAGTCTCTGGTCATCTCCTGTACTATGTCTGCAGTCTCTGGTCATCCCCTGTACTGTGTCCGCAGTCTCTGGTCATCCCCTGTACTATGTCCTCAGTCCCTGGTCATCTCCTGTACTGTGTTCGCAGTCTCTGGTCATCTACTGTACTGTGTCCGCAGTCTCTGGTCATCTCCTGTACTGTGTCCGCAGTCTCTGGTCATCCCCTGTACTATGTCCTCAGTCCCTTCTCCTCTCCTGTGCTGTGTTCGCAGTCTCTGGTCATCTCCTGTACTGTGTACACAGTCTCTGGTCATCTCCTGTACTATGTCCTCAGTCTCTGGTCATCTCCTGTGCTGTGTCCGCAGTCTCTGGTTATCCCCTGTACTATGTCCGCAGTCTCTGGTCATCCCCTGTACTATGTCCGCAGTCTCTGGTCATCTTCTGTATTGTGTCCACAGTCTCTGGTCATCCCCTGTACTGTGTCCACAGTCTCTTGTCATCTCCTGTACTATGTCCTCAGTCTTTGGTCATCTCCTGTGCTGTGTCCGCAGTCTCTGGTCATCTCCTGTACTATGTCCGCAGTCTCTGGTCATCCCCTGTACTATGTCCGCAGTCTCTGGTCATCTCCTGTACTATGTCCTCAGTCTCTGGTCATCTCCTGTACTGTGTCCGCAGTCTCTGGTCATCTCCTGTACTGTGTCTGCAGTCTCTGGTCATCTCCTGTGCTGTGTCCGCAGCCTCTGCTCATTCCCTGTACTGTGTCCGCAGTCTCTGGTCATCTCCTGTACTGTGTGTCCGCAGCCTCTGATCATCTCTTGTGCTGTGTCCGCAGTATCTGGTCATCTCCTGTACTGTGTCCGCAGTCTCTGGTCATCTCCTGTACTATGTCCGCAGTCTCTGGTCATTCCCTGTACTGTGTCCGCAGCCTCTGGTCATCTCCTGTATTATGTCCGCAGTCTCTGGTCATCTCCTGTGCTGTGTCCGCAGTCTCTGGTCATTTCCTGTACTATGTCTGCAGTCCATTGGTTCAGAATATTTTTTTTCTTGTTTTTCTCCTCTAAAACCTAGGCGCGTTTTATGGTCAGGTGCGTCTTATGGAGCGAAAAATACGGTATATGCATCTTACTTAATATCATAAGTGGTATTCTTTGTAGGATATTACAAAATCCACTATGCCTAATGACTAATATCAACTAATATGTCATAACACAAACGTACACTCAAATGGTTTAATCACTTCCTAATCGCCCTATAGCAGCTACTATTTACTTGATGTTGCATTTCCAGATAGTGGGTGCGCGCACGCACACCACCCTTCCCGCGCCCCCCATTGGCAGCTACAGATGTCGATCTCCGGGTCCCGGGTGGAGATTGCCCTCCAGCACCCGGCGATCACCGAGTATCACTGACAGGGGAGAGATCTGTCTGTAAACAACACAGGTCTCTCTCCTGCCAGCAATAACATGTTGCTGTGTATTTCTCTGCACAGCAGAGAAATACACAGCAGTATGTTTCCCTAGTAAAACACACACAGCACATTATGTAAAACAGCACACAATTAACTCTTTGATTGCCCCAGATGGTAACCCCTTCCTGCCCAGTGTCATTATTTCAATGTCATTGCTTTTTATTAGCACTGATCACTGTTATAGTGTCATTGGGATGTCAGTGGCGATTAGTCAGTTCCCTCCCAGTGTCAGAATGCCTACCACAGTCCCGAAGTTCTGCTATAAATCGCTGATCGCCGCCATTACTAGTATAAAAAAAATAAAATTTCAGTATATATACCGCCATTTGTAGACGCTTTCAAGTAAACCAATTAATTTACATGTATAGGGATTTTTTTAGTAAAGACGTAGCAGAATACATTTTGGCCTAAATATATGAAGAAATTGATTTTTATTTTTTTTTTACTGGATATATTTTATAGCAAAAAATCAAAAATACTGTTTTTTTTAAATTGTCAGTCTTTTTTTTGTTTTGCTTACAGCGCAAAAAATAAAAAACGTAGAATTTAATTTATGTACAGCATGGCATGACCATGCAATTGTCAGTTACAGTAACGAAGCGCCATATCGCAAGAAATGGCCTGGTCAGGAAGGGGGGTAAATCCTCTGGAGGGCAAGTGGTTAATAAACCAAATTAAATTCCACAGAGTGTAGTGGGTATATAATAGACCAGTTTAGTTTGAGAGCAGAAGCAAATAAATGAAAACATGCAAAGCTCAATTCACTAAGATGTAACAAATCTTATTTGCCATAATAACCATTATTTTCAGCAATCCCAAATTGAAAATAACTGCCACATAGCTAAAAATACCAACTGTAACTAGAAAAGCTACAATTTCTGGGGAAATTGTGTGAAGTGTTCTTGCCTGCTCACACACCTGGTTCCTATGGCAACTCACTCTACAGCAAGGGCAGAGAAGAGCGGTTAAAAACAAACTGTTCGACCTTGCTCTTCACTGGCAGTTGCCATCTTCAAACGGTTGTAGTTTAAAAAGTATAAATCCTACACCAAAGAGCTTTATATTGTGAGAATCACAAGACCCAGACCTACATTTTAATGCATAGTAAGTCTCTGAAATATTAAAAATGAAGGCACAGTCGCAGTTTAGAAATTGCCCTTCAAATTTGAGGTGGCTAGAGTGGAGTTTCAATGAATGTCAATGGGTGGCGTGAGTTGCAAACAAACGGTCATATTGTGAAAACTATCAGGACTATGGCTTAGCCGTGGACATTTTTAGTGGCAGCAGGGATAGCTGAATGTTTTGATATAATATTTGTGTAGGTGGGCTTGAAAATGAGGGAGTGATGGCAGTTTAGAAATAAGGTCATGATTTTTCAGCTCACACTCTAGCTTTTGTCAGCTCCCACTCTAGTTTTGAACATTCCGCCATTCATTCCTATGGGACCAATTTCACCCAAAAAACGCTGATAGTTCGTGAACCATTTGGCGAAACGTTCCACAAAGTAATAGCACACCAATCGGGAACAATCCGCATGTTTCGGTATATTGCTGTCTATGTAGTGTAAAAACTATGGGAGGAGTTAGGGTGGTAAATTTGGCTATAATAATAAGAATATATATGTGAGATAACAGTAAGTGGTCTTGCCATGCAAGAACACTTAATGACAAATACACATTCATCATAGTATAGTGAATTGAGGCTAGATGTTATACAGTATTACTAACAGTTAAAGCCTATGCATAGGGATGGGAGCCAGGTTCACTATTACCATAGGTTTGAGGAGTTACCATGGGTTCAAGGAGAATCTTGCAGGTTTTAGATTCCCTGCCCCAGTGAATTTATGTGAAGGCAGGGGCAGACTGACCATTTGGAAACTCGGGCACTGCCCGAGGGCCTGGAGTCAGTAGGGGGCCCCATGAGATGCCCCTGGTACCTTTTTCATAGGCTTTTTTGAGTTTGGGCAAGGACACAGGGGCCCCATGATCCCCTATTGCTCGAGGGCCCCATGAGTTGTCAGTCCGCCCCTGTGTGAAGGTACACCCAAGAGAATTTTTGTAAAACCATAATGCACTGAATTATGGCCAGCAGGCTTAGAAGGACCAATAAGGGGGCTTTCGGATAAGCCATTCTCCTCACTATATAAGGGGGCCCACAGAGCAGCCATAGTATTAATGAATTGAAAGCTGTTGCAGAGAAAGCATAAGGAAAAAGGATGCAATGCATAAAGAGAAATTAGTTTCACTTAGGAATATGTATGCTATTTCTGTTTGCTAGCTCTTTGGATAATAAACTCATTTGCTACCTTTTTGTTGTTATTGGGGACTTATTTTGCCTTTAATTTTATTTTGTAGTTGATTTGAAGCCTCAGTGCTCACTTTTAGCTTCTATTTTGTCCATGCCTATACCATTTTTTTTTTGCTGCAAGGTTTCCCATAAAAAAAGCATTTTTTTAAAGTTTGAGCTGTTTAAAGGGTTAGTTCACTTTTACCAAAAAAAAAACTGCCTATGCAGAAAAGGGGTGTCTGCAGATAAAAACAAACTGGGCAGCTCTGACTAAAGCCCTTGTTATAAGTGTAGGCCATTTATGTACCTCATGAAGCCTGACTCTCCCAGGACGTTGCTAAGTGAGGCCTAGTCATTACTGTTCACCTCCTCTATCACAGGAGTGAGCTCTCAGTTGCTGAGCTTAGAGCTACTACATCAGGGAGAGATGTGAGCATGTGAGGGGTCTGAATCAGAGAAAAAGATCACTCCTGTGATGGTGGATGTGAGCAGTAATGACTAGGCATCACTTAGCAACATTCTAGCAACGTCCTGGCTGTATTCAAGTCAGGCTTTATGAGGTATGTAAATATCCTACACATATAGCAAGAGCATTATTGAACTTTAGTCAGAAACATGCAGTTTATTTGTATCCAGTTCTTTTGTGAAGTTGAACTATCTCTTTAAAACAAATCATTGACTTGTAACTGACCATTTGTTCTTTAAGAACTTGCCTACCGAGCACTTTTACCCCCCTTCCTGCCAAGGCCAATTTTCAGCTTTCAGCACTG